CTCAGGTACTATTTTTTAAGGGACAGTTAAATAAAAAGATTCATGTACTGAAGTTTCTTGGGAAAAGGCATCAACCAAATGAAGAAAAAATACATTTATATACAAACATCCCATTGTACACAATGCACATACAATTTCTCACAGTCAAAGGAACTGCATTTTTGAGACTTTATTTTAAAAAAACAACCTAAAAAGAGAGAAGAAACTTGTATGTATGAAGGTTTTCATCATAGTATTATCTACAGTGGTAAAATATTAAATTCAACTCAAGCGTTCAGAAGTAGAGATGCTGTTTAAATAAATAGTAATACAGCAACTTGAAGAGATGTTATACAATCATTAAAAATGATTATTGAGAAGATGGTAGCTACAAACTGTATATGACAGAGAGTCTAGTATAAACAAAAGTGGAATGCAAGAGTTGACCAATTCTATTATTATAAATGCATAAAAATTGTGTGCACTTGTAAACACAGAAAAAAGAGACCCCCCCCCCAAAAAAAATGGAAAGCAAAACCCATTTGCTTTCTAGAGTTCATTCATTCATCCAACAAACCATTATTTGACACCTTCTTTGTGGCATGGGGCAGGTAGCAGTGATTTTTTTTCTTCTCTTGATTTTGAGTACATTATTTTGTTATCATTTCAGTCCGGCAGTAAAATAATTCTAAGTGAATTGCCAGCCAGGATTGAACTAGCAAATCTGTGGAAATGAAAGGCTGTAAGCTTTTGGAGATTTCTGTGAACACAAGCATGCTCTCAATTCTCAAGGGAAAGAACCCAGGGAGCTGCTAGGTTTCGTGGGGCTGCAGAGAGAAGGGGCCACAGAGCATCAGTAATAAGCACCTTTAGAGCAAGGCCTGAGAAAACAAGGGGTGGCAGTAAGCAACCTGGCTGCCAGGGGAAGTGGATGATGGTTTAATTGTTTTTTCCACCTGATTTTCCAGGATGCCATCCTTCAAAATAGAGAGCTCTGGCTATTGATCAAGAAAAAATTTGGAATCCATTCTAAAAGTCAATATAAGAACTGGCAAAAAAAAAACAAAACTGGCAGAAGACCCAACCTGGCCAGGACAGATTATTCAGGCGATGGCACAAATGGATTCTACATCAACCAAGGCTATGAAAGCTCTGAACAGATTCCAAAAGAAAAACTCGAATTGGGAGGCCAAACCACAGAACAACATTTTTGGACCAGATTGTAATCAGAATTGTTAACAGCATCCCTCTTTTACCCAGAAACTAAAACACTGTAGAGAGGTGATGATAGTCTACCCTTATCTTTTCTTTCTCCATCTGAAGATTCAAAGTGCACTTCTCAGTGTATTGAGCCTTGCAACAAAGGACCTTAAATGTGCTTATTTTGACTGTATCCTCTACCATTGAGAAAAATAATGCATTTCCTAGAGTATCATTTGTTTCCTAACAAACTTTATTCACAATGCATAGCATTATCCTGGTTAAAATGCACAACTTTTCACGGTAGTAAAATTAATAGTATGAACATCAATAGAAGAAAGAAAAAATGAAGGACAGTTTGATCTTTGAAAGTTTCATCAACATATTTTTACTTTCATCTATGGAAATAAAGGGATCTGAAAAAAAAAAGCTTCTCTCAATAAATTGTCACATGTTTACTTAACCTTATATTCACTTGCAAAGAACATTTATGCATATATCTTTTCCCAAGGTCACAGAATTCCTCGGTTTGCTTCTTTATATGGTTTTAATAGAGAAACAAGAATTGAAATTTACTTCAGAAAATTCAGCTCTAACTGTGGTAAGTGTGGAAGTGGAGAATGATGGAGGTGTCTGATAATTGCCTATAATCTTGGCTCGGGCACAGCTAACATCTAAGCAAACTCCACCAAAGTTGGCATCTCCCAAAGTATATTGTTTTGGGGCCTGTGAGCTAGAAGGTCCAGAGTAGATCACAAAGGTAATGCAATAAGCTATTAAAATGTACTTTTCACTCAAAGAAGGATGGCACCTTTATTTGCTTTTTATTACTGACAGAGGAAAATCTCAAGTTCTAACTCCAAAAGTTGGCCCAGACCCAGCATTGCTCATCTTAAAAGAAGCAGTCCTAAGGAAGGGACCCATAATGTTTGTATCTACAGCATGACAATTCTCAGGATGCTAAATGACTTAAGTTCCATTTCATCTTTTCATAATCTAAATCAATTATCAGATGCACATTAAGGACCACAAGAACGGGTACATGCTTTACAAATATATTCTGCACTTTATTACCTTTAACATATATCAACCTAACTGTGACCTTGAGAGGATATTTATTCCTAGTGAACATTTTAAATTCCCTACTAAGCTTTCCTTGTAAGCATAAATCTAATTTTGCTAATTAAACAGATCTTTAGTGGGTCATAGGCAATTAGTTAACCAGTCCCATTCTAAGAGTGCCCATTACGTGCCTAATGCTGTGATGCACAGATTCAATCATGTCTTTACAATTCTGAAATCTTTAGGATTGAAAAAGTGTTTTCAAATTTCAGTATTTCGTTGCTGTAAATAGTATTATATGCTTTTTACATAAACCAGCAGCATAAATGCAAATTCCTATTCAAACAAACATTTTATATTTTATTTTATTTTTAATCTTTTCTTGGATGTGCAGCTCTTGGAGAGTGACAATTTTTAAACGTGTCTAATTTAGCTTATGGTTAAGAAATACATGTCAACCTAAAACACGGGCAGCTCAGTTTCCTTGAGCTGAAATATCTGTATTTAGTAATTTGACCTTTAGAATGAGAAGATTCAATTGATACACTATGACATGTAGATAGCATAAAAAGATTTTTTTTTAAATCTTTTTTCAACGAATGTACAGCCTCCCACCACTCAGGTTTTCAACAACCAATTAGGTATCCGATAGGCGATGATCTTTATTTCACACATCTTTTTTGAAGGTGGGGACTGGACATGATAAAGTTGGACTCTACACTAGACTTCATTAAAAATACACTCAGAGAAAGGTTAAGTAGTCTTGGGAAAAATGTTTGACAAAAGCACAATGAACACGGCCACATAATCAAATGATCACCTATAGGAAAAACAACCAGACAGCCTTAAACGACCCATCACCAAGAGTGGCCACTTTTTGAGAAGACTGATGGCTAACTTTGTGAGCTTACCTCTAAGGCTGAAAACTGCTAGAGACTTGAACACTACCTGTGAAAAATGAATCCATGAATTTAATTTAAAAGCACACTTGTGACTTTTTTTCAGTATTGCTAGGACTGCCTTCTGGAGGGGACATGTTCAGAGTCCTCTAGAAGGGTTTGACCTGAGGATCCTCAGGATGTCCTCTGTGCTGCCAATTCCATTCCCTCACCCATAGGCCAGTGTGGAAATTTCACCACACCCCAGTCTCCTGTTTAGGGCTAAGATTTGTCCTCTGCAGTTACCTTTATAAAAAGTAAGCACACCCAGGGAGACAGAACACATTAAGCTGCTGCCAATCTCACCCTGATTAGTCAATACTAGGAAAGAGCCTTTTTTTTTGCTTTTATAATTTTACTATTGAGAGTAGGACATAAAAGGGATATGAAACCGAATTTAGAATAAAAATGCAGGGATAATTTTGGATCATGCTCTCAGGTAGGAGACACACCTCATGCTCTCAGGTAGGAGACACACCTCCCAGAAGGGGGAAGAGAGTTTATCTGCAGGAAGGGGGTTTATCTGCAAACAGAAATGGTGCCATAAGAAAGGGAAGGGATTAGTCAGGGAACAGGAAGAGAGACAGGGTCTCTACTTGCCCTGATGGTAGCACATGACCCCTTCTGTTATCATTATTCTTAACCCTGCAATTAGATTGTAAAGTATTTCTGGCCTGGGAGTAAAATCTTAAATCAGTTTAATAGGTCCAAGACTTTCACTGAGTCATCTGTTTAGTTACTTTATCTACCATATTCCTGGTTCCCTCATTCCATCCCGAACCCCCTAAATTTACTTAACCTTTTCCTTTATTTAAGGCCATACTTTTAATGATGGCACAATAAGGATGTCATTAGCTGGCAGTGTTGTTTGAGGGTAACGTTATAATATCTGATATAATCCCAGGGTATAGAGACCTGCATCCACTTCTCCCCACCTGCTGCCGATAAGAATTCCACTGGAAAGGTATTAAAAAGTAGTGTGTTTCATTCAACACATAATCAGTAAAATGCAAGAGTAAAGTCATGACACTCCTTGACATAGTAAAAGCCTTAAAAAGTAACACAGGATATTGTTTTCTAAATATGGCACCTTAAACCTATATTTAATAATCTCTTGCTAAGGTTAAGAGGGTCAAACTCTTGAAATACTTCAAAATCCAAAGGGAATGATGGAGCTTTGTAGAAGTAACAGCCCACTCCAGCTTCTCACATATTCCTCACAAATGAGTCGCTTCCAGGGAAATCACTGGGTCCGAAACACTGGAGCCGAGAGTTCCTTCTCCCGTTCACCCCCTGCCCCCATCTACACAGGAGCAAGGAGATGGGTGTTCAGCTTCAAATGGATTATTAATCAAAAGTTCTTCAAGCTGCCTAACCAAATGCTGAATTTCCAAAATTCTTTTCTCACCAGAAAAGGAATATGAATTTTGATGTCAACCCCAAAATTTGGGGCTCTTAACATTTTTTTTCAAAATCACATATAAAAGGTTCTTTATCCCTCTGGCAAATACAAAATAGTTACCCTCAGGGGAAAGGAAAACAATATTTATAGAAGATAAATGATGATGTGATATTAAGATCCTCTGCTGGTTCACTCAAAAGGCTACTGCTTCTTACTCAAGCTGCCACAGGAAATCTATGCTAGTAGGGAGAAAAATTTCCATGGCTCAGTGATGAGACAATACCAGTAAACAGTTTATTAAAGAGCCTGCCATCCATCATTGGAATTTGGAACAATAATGATATATTGAAAATAAGTATTCATCCCAAGTTTCTTTTCCTCCTCACAAATTCCTTCAGCTCCAATATCTCTTCAGTAAATTAATAGTATTTTGCTCTTAGTCTTTTTGGAAACAAGCCAAGGAAAGAGAAGGCACCAGCGGCAGCTGCCACAAACCCAATGGTACTTATTGCTCGGTTGGCCTATAAGGAAACAGGAAACAAACAAAAACACATCTTATTCTAAAAGCATCTCAGTGTCCTAAACCCCAGCTTTAGCTTGTTTCCTAAACTGAAGACCCATTTTAATGTACAATGGATGAATTTAAAACCCAATGCAAAATTAAAATTCTGTATGCAGATGAAATAAATTTATAATTATTATAATTATGACAAAGATAGAAATACACGTAGGTAGAGATCCCTCATTTTTTTTTTTTTAAGAAGATGTTGGGGGTAGGATTTTATTAATTATTTTATTTTTGCTGTGTTGGGTCTTCGTTTCTGTGCGAGGGCTTTCTCTAGTTGGGCAACTGGGGGCCACTCTTCATCGCGGTGCGTGGGCCTCTCACTATCACGGCCTCTCTTGTTGCAGAGCACAGGCTCCAGACGCGCAGGCTCAGTAGTTGTGGCTCACGGGCCTAGTTGCTCCGCGGCATGTGGGATCCTCCCAGACCAGGGCTCGAACCCATGTGCCCTGCATTAGCAGGCAGATTCTCAACCACTGCGCCACCAGGGAAGCCCAAGATTCCTCATATTTTTATAGCTTCTGAGAGTTTACAAACTCATTATGCCACAATTCCTAATAATTGTCATAGTACCCCTGGGAGGTAGCATTACTCCTGTTTTGTAAAACTTGAGAAGTTAAAAGTGATTTGTCCGAGGGAGGTCGTACCAACAGGATGTTTAGATATAGTTTAGTCTTGAACCATGTGTTCTCCCCCTGTGAAACCCCTACCCCGTAAACACATACTGGTTTGTTTGATTCTGTATCAAGGTGAATATCCTGTGTGTGTGTGTGTGTGTGTGTGTGTGTGTGTGAATTGGTAGAGGGGTGTAGACATGATAAGAAAGTGGGAGCACTCATTCAAGAAGTCTATTAAAAAGATGACAGCATTTGGATGGACCCGTGTGTGTGTGTGTGTGTGTGTGTGTGTGTGTGTGTGTGTGTGTGTGTGTGTTCCTTGACTTAATGTCTGTTAGGAAAATAATTCAGGGATGTGACTTGAGCTAAATACCTATAGGCTCTTATTTGGTAGATACACTTTCTATTCTGATAAACAAACTTCAAGAGAAGTCAATACTGATGTTAACTATCATGTCAAAAAGTAATTTCTCATGTAGACAAACGAAAATGAACCACTCTCAAGCTCAATTGTCCATAAAGGAGCTCAGACAATTATATCTTCAAGGGTATTAATCATCATCATCATGATGGAACTGATGAATATTCATGGTTTCATGGCACTCAACTAATATCGCCTTCCATCTGCAGTGCAATTTTATGACCCAAAGGTCACATTCAGATACTTCAGAGTCATCAGGTATTCTGAAAACAACAGTTATTCTCTGGGAGTTAAGAATCGGGCTTTCAAATAAAGCAAAACATTTTTCCTAAATTACTCTGGAGACCAGCCCCAATGCTGGAAAGTGTGACCCAGCTCACACTGGAGCATGCCCTTTGTCTAACCCACAGCCCTCCACCACGGAGCCTGCCACCCCTATATGCCACATAATGTTCCCTCCCTAACTGTGGGTTCCCTATGGGAAACAGGCAGCATGGGTTCTAGCCAGGACAGAAGCACAATGGCAAAAGTATTCACTTCATTGCATCATCCTGTGGTCTGTAGGGACGAGGCCTATAATTATAACTCCCTGCTCTGTTACCGTCCCCCCAGTTGCCAAAGAGAATGACACTGGCAAACAACTGAAAAATCCTATTTTAGTTTACAATTCTAATTTAATGTATTTGGTTGGTTGGTTATTTCTTTTATTTGTAATTTTTAATTAGTTGCTACTTAAGTTGCTTCCCAGGAGAGAGTCAGAATTCACTATAGCATAGAGCTACCCACATAGCCCATGGGGAGCAAAAAGGGGCTGGGAGATACAAGATACCAGACAAAATTCCGAAGAGGAGCAGAATCAATAATCAGACAGGGAGTAGGATTATAAACCAAGCCCAAACCTCATGCAATTCCAGGCAGATGCTGAGATTCCAAGGAGGGCTGATACAGGAAAATATGGCAGGCAATGCAAAAACAGGATGGTGCAATTGGTGTCTTTAAACAGAGATATCAAATGGCAGCAGAGAAAATGGCAGGATCCTGTGGGTGGGGTGGCCCCAGCTAGATGCAGTCCTAACTCACTGGGTATATTTCAACCACTAGAAACATTACACGTGAGAGAAATCCCATAAATCTAAGAGAACTGGGGAGGGGACAGACAACTTAATACTAACTCAAAATCCCCTGAGATTGCACAGGCAAGATACAATTATAATAAAGCCACTTCCAGCATGCAGTTTCCCAAATCCCAAACATTTATTTTTTTCAAGTTGCATTCTAAATGGAAAAATCACATGTAATTTGGACAATCCCTTAGAGTTATGTGTAATGGGATCTGACCTGCAAGATTATAAAATCCCAGGATTTTTGTGGTGAAACAGCATGAACAAGAGCTTTTACCTCATGGCTGATTTAGGATTATAAGATCACCAAATCCTATCCTGCACACTTCATCCTTTACAGGGCTTTCGGGGTGGGGGGGCATGGTAAACACCCCATTCTGAGGATCTATATATACATGCCCAGTGAAGTGTTAGCTATAACTGAAGCAGCTGGGTCCGGACATCAGTTTAGCTGGGTCACAGATGACTGTAGGGGTTATCAAAATCCCTTTTCCCCCAAGACTCTAAGGCTGCAGTGCTATGCAAAGAAACACAGTCAGGGTGTACTGTCTGTCAGCTTGTCCAGGCCCATGCAAGGGTGCTGCTATCTTCCACAGAGATAGACACATTTTAATAACTTGTTTAGACCCGAACAGTGAGAAATGTTGATTTTAGGAATTTGTAAAAATAAGGAAAAGACAAGCCACAGTCTGGAAGAAAACATTGGTGAAAGGCATATTTGATAAAAGATTGTTTTCCAAAATATGCTAAGAACTCTTAAAACTCAACAATATGAAAACAAGCAAGCCACCCAATTAAAATTGGGCTAAAGATCTCAAGAGACACATCACTAAATGTGATATGCAGATAGCAAATAATACATGAAAAGATGTCCAACATCATACATATTTAAGGAATTGCAAATTAAAACAATGGAGATACAACCATGTACCTATCAGAATGGCTAACCTCCAAAACGCTGACAGTGCCAAATGCTAAAGATTTGGAGCAACAGGAAGCTCTCGTTCATTGCTGGTGGGAATTCAAAATGGTACAGCCACTTTGGAAGACAGCTGGGCAGTTTCTTACAAAACTAAACATACTCTTACCGTATGATCAAACAATCATAATACTTTGTGTTTATCCAAATGAGTCAAAAATTAACATCCACAAAAAACCTACATGCAAATGTTTCCAGCAGCTTTTTTTTCATAATTACCAAAATTGGGAAGCAGCCAAGATGTCCTTCAGTAGGTGAGTGGAAAAATAAACTGTGGTGCATCCAGACAAGGGAATATTCTTCAGCAATAAAAAGAAATGAGCAACCAAACCATGAAAAGACATGGAAGAATTTTAAGTGCGTATTGCTTAGTATGATTTCAACTATATGACATTCTGGGAAAGACAAACTACAGGGCAGTAAGAAAAAAAAAAAAAATCAGTGGTTGCCAGAGATTTAGAGAAAGAGGGAATGATTAAGCAGAGTATACAGGATGTCATTACACAGTTGTCAAAACTAACAGAATTTACAACATAAAGAGTGAAACCTTATGTTAACTATTTTAGGGGAAGAAAATTGTTTCCTTTACCCATAACAAGTTCTCAGCTGAGGCTCTGTAATAAGAGGAAAGCAAACAGAAGTTTATTAACTTGCATATCTCATATACCATGGGAGAAATTCAGGGAAGAGTAACTCAAAGAGGGAGAACAAACAAAACACAACGTTAGTAAAAGGAAAGGAATCATAAAGATCAGAGCAGAAATAAACAAAGAAAACAATAGCAAAGATCAATAAAACTAAAAGCTGGTTCTTTGAGAAGATAAACAAAATTGTAAACCTTTAGCCAGACTCATCAAGAAAAAGAGGAACAGGACTCAAATCAATAAAATTAGAAATGAAAAAGGAGAAGTTACAACAGACACTGCAGAAGTACAAAGCATCATAAGAGACTACTACAAGCAACACTATGCTAATAAAATGGGCGACCTGGAAGAAATGGACACATTCTTAGAAAGGTATAACCTTCCAAGACTGAACCAGGAAGAAATAGAAAATATGAACAGACCAATCCCAAATAATGAAATTGAAACTGGGAGTGAAAATCTTCCAACAAACAAAAGTCCAGGACCAGATGGCTTCACAGGTGAATTCTATCAAACATTTAGAGAAGAGCTAACACCCATCCTTCTCAAACTTTTCCAAAAAATTGCAGAGGAAGGAACACTCCCAAACTCATTCTACAAGGCCACCATTACCCTGATACCAAAACCAGACAAAGATAATGCAAAAAAGGAAAATTACAGACCAATATCACTGATGAATACAGATGCAAAAATCCCCAACAAAATACTAGCAAACAGAATCCAACAACACATTAAAAGGAGCATACACCATGATCAAGTGGGATTTATCCCAGGGATGCAAGGATTCTTCAATATACCCAAATCAATCAGTGTGATACACCACATTAACAAATTGAAGGAGAAAAACCATATGATCATCTCAATAGATGCAGAAAAAGCTTTCAACAAAATTCAACACCCATTTATGATAAAAACTCTCCAGAAAGTGGGCAGAGAGGGAACCTCCCTCAACATAATAAAGGCCATATATGACAAACCCACAGCAAGCATCATTCTCAATGGTGAAAAACTGAAAGCATTTCCTCTAAGATCAGGAACAAGACAAGGATGTCCACTCTCACCACTATTATTCAACATAGTTTTGGAAGTCCTAGCCATGGCAATCAGAGAAGAAAATAAATAAAAGGAATACAAATTGGAAAAGAAGAAGTAAAATCATCACTGTTTGCAGATG